GTTTGTCCTCAGGGGTGTTGGGAGGGAAAGTGTTGGTCCCGGGTCCATCTTTGGGGGATAAGTGAAGCTCACTTCCCCAACCTCATAATGGCAGCCCAACCTTGACCCTTTCTGGAGAGGTTCTCAAGTGCAAGCCAGAGGGAACCCCAGCCACATTATTCTTGGTAACATAATTCTTGTTTCCTCGGTCCCCTGACGGTTTATCCCAGTTGCGAGGCCATACCTCATAGTGACCATCAGAGAGTCAGAGGACTTCTTTCAGTTCCTTCTCGAGCAGCTTTCTCTTCATTCTCAACCTCTCGAGCAGCACCTCTTAATTGATTCCTCCAGTCAGGGGTTCTTTCTCTTCCCCCTTGAGGGATTCATTCCCAGTCGTGAGGCAGCGCCTCTCATGCAACTCTCAGCGAGTCAAGGGTTGTTCATGCTTCTCCCCTTGAAATTGAATGAAAGTGTTGGGTTTTTCTTACATGTAATTTAAAACAACAAACTGAAATATCTTGATTTTATAAGGATTTACCCACCAACTTTTGCTATGACATTCCAAATTGAGCCCATCTACAGTAATTTCCTTGAGACATCACTTTAAAACTCGATTTCAACTGTATTCAGTTTAATTGGTTACAATTAATTCAGAATAAATACACTTTTCTTTAAAAAGTTCCTCAGTTGACAGCACATGTCAGAGCAGAAATTCTATTATAAAGATCATGGAGCTGTCCATACAAACTCATCATAGAATTATGAGAATGCACAAATCTGAAAAGGGATATAAAATATATTTAGACTATTTAAAGTTCCAGGCACAGTCAGGTGCACCACAGAGACTCTAGACTGTCTTCCAAAACTCGGCAACTGGTCAAAATGGACCTTGGTTACAGAAGTGACTGATAACTAAATGACCACCCTGACAGAACTACAGAGTTCCATGACTGAGATTGGAGAACTGCCAAGGACATCAGTCTCTACAGCACTATACAGATTTAGCCTCTATGGGAGAATGGTTAGATGGAAGCTTATAGCTTGCTTAGAATTTTCATGAAGGCATGCTGCAGATACTTAGACCTTGTGACAAAGATTATCTGGTCTGATAAAACAAAAACGGAACTCTTTGGCATGAATGCAAAGCATTATGGCTGGCGCAAACCATACACATCTTATCACCCATGTACCTTTAACACCATCCCCACTGTAGTGGTTTTGTGAATTTACTTGCGCAATGTTCAGGTGTAACAGTAAATTGTTTGAGTTTACATTGGCTATTAGGAATCAATTGGCAGAGCAACAAGGAGTCTTCACAAGGATTCACAACACATGGCATACATTTAATGATACATCAAATAATGTGTACATAAAAGCACTTAAAATATCAAGCTTATAGAGAGTATACAGAAGAGATACATAAACACAAGGATAATACATTTAGTATACCCTTGGTTACACTAACTTCCTAATCAGCCTCAATAACCTAATCAACATTAAAGTGGTCACAAGTAACTACTAACAAGTGTGGCAGGCACGTGTTTCTGTTATTCTGTGTTCTGTCATTCAGCCATATTATTGGGTAAATGTATTAGTTAATGCTCTGCCCCTGCTTTACTCCTTATTTTCTTGCTCCCATGCAGTTTATCAATCAATAAAAAACTTTTTTTTTGGTAAATACTGTATCTAGTAGCATTTTTTACAAATTGTACTTTGCCTGCTGATTGACTTTCTTTGATCGAAATTTAAACCCATAATGTCTAAATGTCAGATAACGTAGACTTCTAAAAGTTGTTTACATGGATTTGCCCTACTCTGCTCTACTTTGTTCTACTTACTACCCTGGTAGTGTTGAATTCATGGTAGAATCAATGGTGTCCGTGTTTTGAGGCAGCAAAGCAGGCCCAAGACATCACCCCCACCACTGTGCATGATGGTTGGTACGATGTTCGTCTGTTCAAAGGCAATGTTTTGTTTTCACCAAACATGATATTGTGCATCATAGCCAAACAATTCCACTTATGATTCATTCTTTCCATTTTAGTAGCTTTGTTTTCATACAAGAGCTGGTTTTCAAATATCAGCCATACAACAGTGTTCTATTTTGGCAGCAAGGGCTTTCTCTTGGCTATCCTTCCATGAAAACCATTGTTATACAATCCTTTCCTTATTGGTTATTATTGTATTTTTATTGCATTACCCTTCCCACACCCATCAACAATTCTTTCTCAAAGACTGTCATAGATTTTTTGTTTAATCTGGGCATGATGTGTTACCACACAACTGGGTGCACTTTTTCACCACACTGTGGTATTATGAAACCTCTGACATAACTCTCTAATAGGCAAATTATTGTAAAAATGCACAGTTCACATCACTGTTAAACATTTTTTTTTATTTTGAACTCATTTGTAAAAAGTGTCTTCCAGGAACATTTTTCTATAAACAACCATCTTCTTTTACTTGGATATTTTTTATCAACAAAGGTTTTCAGGATGAATATGCACAATTAACACCTTATTTGTAGTTACACTAAGTTGTTAGCAAGAATTCTACTGGATCATCTTCGGTAATATAGAGAACATAATAACACTTGTGGATAATTTGGGTTTTCTGCTTCATCTGGTACTGGATGTGCATGCTCTCCTTAGAACCATACATCATCTCTCTGTGTACATTATAAATGAATGACTATATTATTGTGTATACTACACAATTTAACACAAGTGATGGAATTATGTTATGTGTAATCTGTGTTTTTTTCTATTTCCAAATACTCAGTTGTTTATGAGATATACTGTTAAATGTCCAGTAATGTAATGTACAGCATATGTTCTAAATTATGCTTTCTCCATAATAGTCCATAATCTCTCCAAAAGCACGCTACATTACTAGCCATGGTAGCAGCTTTTAGAGAGAAAAAGGTTTCTGTCTCACATTATAGTAGCTGCCAAATATAAAATAATAATAATAAAATTAACAAGATATGTCTCAATTACAGTGATGACCTGACCAGTAGGGTTATATTAATGTAACATATATATATATTAAAAAAAACAGGAAATGTCAGAGTTAACAATTGCAAATGTTAAAAGATTTAATCATTCCACAGAAAACACCCTTACAAAACAAAGATGTAACTTGCACATCATTATTTTATGCCATTTTTCTATCTGAGCAGCACACATTAAGCCCAAATAAGATATGAGTCAATGTGCATACAATTGAAAAAAAAAGGGGGACTTGAATAATTGTTGTGAACAACAGATGCATGAAAAGATGCTTGTTTTATAGTTCTGACATAATATGAGTGTAGGCAACAGTTCATGGATTTTCGTTAAAGAAACAGTTATCTTGTTAACCAGTCTAAGCTAAGGTTACCTATTTTTTAAAATTTTATTCCAGGTAATGCTACACAGAAAAACATTAACCATCATTAAACATCAACAAGAATCTCAAGCTTTGTAAGGCCACTACTTCTTTAGTTCAAGGTTAGCAGAATCCTTTTAAAACCCACATATTCCTTTTATACTACGGATAGCCAAGTGATCACTAATTAAGTCATCATGTATCAGGAAAAGTTAAACTCCTCTTGCAGACCACCAGTATGGGATACTGTACATATAGAGAGACTACTGTATTTTATTACTGTTTGTGAAAGGCTCAATTGAAAATGTATATGGAGGATCAAAATGCAAAATTAGTAATAATCATGTTCTTAAAGACAAGAGATCAGGGTACAATTACGGTACTGTTATGTAATTTACCTTTCACCCTATCCCTTGGATGAACAGTTATCCCTTTCCATCTCTTTCCAGCCTGCATTCCCACTCGTTTTCCTCCCTTGCCCCCCAGTGGTTGGACCAGCTGTCAGTGTATATCAGACTTGCTCTGTATCAGTTAATATCTGAATAGCCCTTTTAAAGTGAAAATCATAACTGCCCTATTTTAGTGAACTCAAAATTGCTCTGTTTTAGTAAAAAAAAAACATTACCCCGTTTCATACCACAGTCAGAAGCATTATCAAAGCTCACCAGTTCACACTGCAATTCTAAAAATGTATTTCTACCTTGTGTCTATTGAACCTGTGCACTGGTATCCAATTTTCTGCTCCTATGTATGCCATTATTTTCTATACAAAACAATAAAAAAAAAACTTTTTATCACCATTATTATTATTTTTTAACCATTTTTTTGCTTGCATGTTCTGAAACATGTGCACCTTTTTGCTAAGGTTTAGCTTTAATGTCCCTCTTTATAAAATAAAATACTGTGGACATTCAGGGCAAGTGAAAATTGTTATTTTGTACCATCTTTTGTACCACTTTGTACCACTTTCATTGGCTCACCATTATTATTAGCAAACATGCCATAAGAGAACAGCTATGCAACCATGTTCATAAACATTAGGGCACACTAAACACCTTAAGTGGCATTACCATTTGATCACTGAAGCTTCCTCTTACTGTACCTTTTCTGTTGCAGTGTAGTACACATATGTCCTTATCATGTGAATGGAGTTGTCTTTTTGAATATTTATGTGCTGTATGTCAGAACTCATTTACATTCTACAGTACATATTGTTATAAACAGTGCTTACATAATATTGAAAAATGTAACTTATTGAACATGTGTTTCAATTTGTGTTAAATGCTTTGATTAAAGAATGATATTTCATTAAAAATTATTATTTTCTGTATATTTTCAATATTCTATGAATGTTGACATAGTTTAAAAAGCACATAGTATGAAAGCCTAGTATATGTAAAATATGTTTATATAAGTGTCTGAGTAATATCATCGAATCCAATGCTGTCATGCATGCAGTTTTAGACGATTTGTGGCATTGCTTCCATCGATAGATTGACAGATAATCAAAATAAGCAAAGAAAATCTTAACGGTAATTTAAAGGTTAATTGCTTCCCAACGTAAATACAGTTTTCACCTTCTGTCATTCTAAAATGAATTCCATTTTGATGTGGTAGAGACGTTTTTGGACGTCTGATGCGTATTAAATGGTGCAAGTGTCTGTAACTGCGATATGCTCCTTATTCGAAATTAAATTCGACTGACCTTGAATTGTAGGTAAACAAATGGTGCTAGATACATTGAAATTACCGATAAACAATTGCTTAGTGTAACTTAAATACACGTGAAATGTGTAACCCATGATCAATGCATATTTGTGAACGATGATGAATTTTATTACTGATGGTCCAAAGATCGGATTTTTTTGTGCTACGGAGGCAAAACCCAGTTTTAAAATAAAACGGAGCATATGCTTGTGTCACCTCCAGTCTGTTGATCATTCAAGTAATACGATCATGTGAAAAAGATGGTTATTTTTGGGTATTCGCCACCAACAGAGTTACGGGCTGGGGCACATTTGTCTGGCGACAACAAGCAAGATAACAGTAAATAGGATCTTCAGCACAAGCAAGCTTTTTTTTTCCTTTCCAAAAGAGATTGCGGGAAATGCAGGCGTTCGATTCATACAGTTCTGTTGATTTCTTCTCGGCTATAATCTTTCCTCGGGACAAGACATTTGGTGAGGGGAAATGTGAACAGGCTTAAAGTATGGCATGCAAAGATGGTTTCTGCCAAGAAGGAGATGGTGATTGCGATGTCCTCCAGTTACATTTCCACTCTGATTTACTTTCTCTGCGTGACAGCATGGTGAGTGCTGAAAAGCTATCTGATTCACTGGTCAATTTCACCTTTTATTTACTAGATCACTATAATTTATGCTTTAGTATATCAGATTACTACCTTGACTGTAAAAATAGTAATAATAGTACTATTAGTAGAGATGATAACATGCTTAGTAATAATGTAGGAATCGTTTGTTGTCAACGGCTATATATTTATGGCACAATTTATATCTGTTTTGCAGTATAAAGAAAAGCTCTGGACAGATCAGAAAGGATGAGAAATTATATCCTGAAAATTTCACTCGCATACTAGATCGACTTCTGGATGGCTATGACAACAGGCTGCGACCTGGATTTGGGGGTATGTTCCGAAACCTTAATGAGTAGTTTCTTTTCCCAAGTAGTCGATCCACTTTGTGTGAAGAAAGGACAGACCAAAAAAAAAAAGAGTAAATGATTTGTCAGACGAAAGTAAAAGACAACTTCTCGAGCTGGATTTGAGAGTAGGCATTTGGATAAAGTCGTATGCATCAAAAATAATAATAATAATAATAATAATAATAATAATAATAATAATAATAAAGGTAAGGGCGTTTAGCTTAGGAAGCTGCATCAAGAAGACTGAGATCTGTTTATATACAAAATTTGCAAATGGCATGGAAGGGTATAAACTTTCGGGGAGGCGACTTTGGATTTTGATACAAAGGCTGTTTTCTTAGATTCGTATATTTATTTAAGAAGAATCAGTATAGTCAAAAATCGAAATATAAATATAATATAATCGGAAATATACCGCTTAATGCTCAATTTAAGTAGAGTGAGTGCAGATCTTTTTTGTTTAAACCGTGCACGACGGCAGCAGTAGCGTGAAGTATTAGCCTCAGAAACGTGTTGTATTCGAGCACTATGTGATTATAGATGAATAATGTGATAATTTGAATAAAACAGCTACAAACAATTAATAATGAGGGATGTTTTTTTCCTTCTGTATTGTCTTCAACTTCTAATAACAATTACACGTACACGTATCTCCTTTGGAAACTACACATTGCATTATGGTTGGAAATCTGCTTATGTCCCGGAAGGTTTTACAGTTTAAACGGTTTTATCTGATTTTTTTATTCGGTTATATAAAGCGTAGTGGTACAGAAGTAATCTAGAATTCTTCGTGGAAATGTTGTCTATTTCGTGGACACATGCAGTTTGCATAACAATTCATCTTCCGTTACCAGTTAGTGTTACAGATTGCTTGTCCTGTTGGTTGCCAAGATAAGCAATGTGGCAGTGCCTACCTGCAGCAATACCAGCTGCTGTTGTTTTTCTACATTTAGAAAAAAAAGGTACTATCCTAACTCATGAAGCGCTTATTGTCCTAGATATCATCATTATAGTAGCAGAAGCATTAAGCAGATGAAACCTGCGAATTGGCTGTAAAGAGTTAATGCTACTAATGATACAGTCGATTAACGTTTCATTTCCGAGCCCTTTTTCTAGTTTCATAGTTCAGCTGTTGCATCCCATCAAAGGAAGAAATAAATAAATTTGGTTGCCTAGGAAACTATAAGAACTTAAAAAGTCCCAAACTCAAAACTTGATTAAGATGTGTTTTCCAATTTATGACAGTATGGACTCATCACACAGCACATTTTGAAATTGTCACAGGAATAAACATAATCTGAAACTGCAGAAGGTACAGTAATATAGCACTGTCACAATTCACAAGATTCTGTTTTGTCAAACAACAGCAAATGTTACTCTTTATAAAGCTGTCTAGTCATGGAGATGGATGAAAACTGATTACCATAATACTGGTAGCCTACTACATCAGTATGTGTATACTGAAAGAAGCAATAAATTGACTGTTGATGTTCAATTGCAGAAAGAAAAGGTAGTACAGTATGTATGTTTATGTGTATGCAGACATTTGATATAAAAATGTTAAGACTCAGAAAAAACATTCTAAATATTAGTAACAGTAGGGTTTGTAGTTTGTTTATAATTTGTGTTATCCAGGACTAAAATATGTTTACACTTTGTGTGTACAAGATCAGTGATCCTAGTCAGCAGGGTGTCTTTCTGTTCCTGACACAGAATCTCTTTAAACTAGACTTGGGAAGCAAGTTTAAAGGGGTGCTTTTGTGGGATTCGACTGAAGATTACACAAACATGCTTGTCATTCCAGAGTTGTGTTTCAAATGTAGTAAGAACCTGGACAACAACTTTCTTTAAAATACTCATCATTTCATATGCAAATTGCAGTTGATCCCCTTGAAAGACCTCTAATAAAGCCACTTAACAGGTATCCCATATACAGTAGGTTCTGTGACAGGGATGATCTACTGTATAATCCCACACGATAAAGTTGTTGAGCTTTTCCACTTTAAATAAGCATGGTGTTGTTTTGTATCAGCTGTTACAAAGTATTCAGTTTACTTAGCATTTGCCAGGAACAAACTAGAACAAACTGTGCTGTACAAACGTTGGTATATATTCATGGTTATCCATGTTTAATTTATCTCAATTTGATTTTAGGATATGCAATCGAATTGCAATTATACATATACAATAATCTGTAATTTTCACTGATTAAACTATTTTAAAAGAATCTAGCTCATCACCATGTCAGTCAAGAGCCAAAGGTAGCCTCATGGATAAAGTATTTTATTTTGAAACTGCATTAAAGAGAACATTTTCTTGAGTTAAAACTTTAGTTTTTAACTTAAAAAAAAGAAATGTATCTAAGTTTATTTAAGATTTTGTTCCACGGTATATGGCAGGAGATGAAGGCTGTAGTCTTATTATTTGAGACAGTATCTTTGGAGAGGAATAAATTAAAACAATCAAACTAGTAATTATTTCAATTAATAAATTATGAATAACAAAAGTATGAATGGCCACAGTTAATGGCCACTGTATTTAATGTACTAAACTGTAAAGTGTTGATATTTAGCTTGAACCTGCTCCATTCCATAGTTTTGACAGACCCACCTCATTAATTCCAATATTGATGCTGCTGATGATCAGTTAAAATATAAGGAGTTGATTATAGCAAAATTGTCAAATTAAGCAAATTGTAAGGACTAAAAGCTGTAAAGTATTGTTATAATGCTTTCAAAGCATGTACTTTGAGGAAACAGGAATATTAGTTTTTAAAACTTTTCTGGCTGATTAATAAATTATTTTGTAGTCACTAAAGTTTTACATATACTCATCATGTTAACTTGAAGAAGTAAAACCAATACAGGTTACATAGTAGAATAAGTTCAGTAAGGTGATACTGCTAAGTCTAGATCTAAAGATTTGAGAGATTTTTATTACTTAAATGTTTTTAAATGATAAACATGTTAATACATTTAAATTGATTTGCAAAAGTATTTACCTAAATCCATTGACTACAAATTTTATATATGTATTTTTACAAAGTGAATTAATCAAAATTTTAATGTTCAATTTGACCAATTTTATGGATTAAATAATTTGAATGTCCGCAGAAACTGCAAAGAAAAATCTAAAATTAAAATATGTTTATTGCATAAGTATTGACCTCTCTGAGTCAATACCTGGTAGAAGTAAGTATGGCAGAGATTAAAGTTGTGATCTTTTTGGCATCTACCAACTTTGCAACCTGGGGTGGTGCAAGTTTCACCTATTCTCCTTTGCAAACTTGTACAAGTGCAGCCAAGTAGTTTAAGGAACTTTGATGGACAGTAAATTTAAAGTCTTGCTATAGACTTTCAATGGGATTCAAGTGAGGACTTTGATGGGACCACTGAAGGGCGTTCATGTTATTTTTGTTATTACGCTTCAGTGTAGTTTGGCCTTGTACTTTGGGTCATTATCCTGCTGAAAGGTGAATTTTCAACCTCATTTTAGGTCTTTAGCAGGATCAACCAACAATTAAACTTTCCTCTAAAATTTTCCTGTACTTTTCTCCATCCATTTTCCCCTGTCTTGACAAGCTTTCCAGTCCCTCCTGATGAAAAGCAGTCCCATAACATGATACTTCAACACCATGACAGTAGGAATGGTGTTAATTGAGTGCTGTGCACTCTAATGAGTTTGCAGTAGATATGATGCTTTACATGTAGGCCAAAAGGTTCCAGTTTTTGTCTTGACCACAAGCATTTAGCCACATGTTTGCCTTACTTTATTACGTTCTTTGTCTTACCTTCCTGAATGCCATACTGGAGCAACCAGGATATGATAGACTCATCTTTTCCCATTTTGTTCTGTAGCTCTTTTCAAGTTGCTGTTGACCTTACAATGGTATCCCTAAACTGTCTTTATGTTGTCTGTCTGCTCAGTTTGGAGGGACAGTCTCTAGGCTAAGCTCAGTGCTATGGTTTAATTTTCTCTTTTTTAATAATCACTTTGCTCAAAATAACATTCAGTTTTTGAAATATTGTATCCCTTTCTCCTGATCTGTGTTTTTTCACAATCTTCAGTGAAAGCCCTTTGGTCTTCAAGGCTGAACCTTTTCTTGAAATTCCCTATCTTATTGAGAGAGTATATAGACAGATGTATTCAGTAAAATCACATGACCCACTATTTTTTGAGACAGACAAGCCCCAATCAAAGGATTGTGTAACTTGCCAAAGCAATGTTGCACACCTGAAATCAGTTTTACATTAATCTGAAAACAATTTTTTTTCACAATGGCAAAACAGCCTATATGTATTTGTTAAACATACATTATAATTCACAAATTTTTGTTTTATTTTCTTAAATTAATAGGCTTGAGGACAGTTCCATTTTTAAAAGTAGCACAATAAAGTTTGTAAATGGCAAAACAGCTTATTACTGAACAACTGTTTTGCAATTTACAAAACAATGGCAACAGAACATACATGTACATTGATTCTTTGTAGCTTCTACTTTCACATACTACACATTGTTTTTTTTTCCTCAAGATTTACATACATTATGTAATTAATGTTTTAGGTCCAGTTACAGAAGTTAAAACAGATATTTATGTAACAAGCTTTGGACCAGTTTCTGATGTTGAAATGGTAAGTTACTTTACATTTATTTTTCCAATACTAATTTGTTTGCAAATTTAAGTTATAAATTTGATAAAAATAGATGATTAGTAATGAGTCTGAAGATAATGCAAAGATCTTGCAGTTTAAAAATTGCATCATCTTCATGTTGTGCTGTCGTGCTATTTAAAAATATTCTGTTTGTATGACACAATAGGGATTTATGAAAAATAAATTATTTACATTGTATTTCTTTTTTGTAAAATTTCATAGAAGCACTGAATTATATCATTGAAAAATTATGTTTATGTAATAAACTTTAAATTAATTTAAAATGATCTATTAATGTAACCAGAAAACAATTTCAGTTATTTTGTGAGGAGTCAAAACGGAAATAGTAAGAGTTTTATAACCAGTGTACTGTAAACATTTTATAATTTTTTTTTCTGTTTTCCTAATGCAGGAATATACAATGGATGTTTTTTTTCGCCAAACATGGGTAGACAAAAGATTAAAATATGACGGCCCCATTGAAATCCTAAGGCTAAACAACTTAATGGTCACAAAAGTGTGGACACCTGATACTTTCTTTAGAAATGGAAAAAAATCTGTCTCTCATAACATGACAGCTCCAAACAAATTATTCAGAATCATGAGAAATGGTACTATTCTGTACACTATGAGGTATGTTTCTTTCTTATCATTTGTTCATTTTACAGATTAGAAAATAAGCTTTTTACCATTCAAGGCATTTATGTCAGCTGTGTCAAACAGGTACATTAAAATCATGTTTTTGATTCCAGGCTTACAATAAGTGCAGAGTGCCCAATGAGACTTGTGGATTTCCCAATGGATGGACATGCTTGCCCTCTTAAGTTTGGAAGCTGTGAGTTGAATGTCAACATGATTTAAAAACACTGAAAAAGTGGGAATATTGTGAATTACTTCTTATGCTTTTTGGTTGATTGCAGTTGACAAGCATGCTGTCTGTAGGGATCTGCTTTACTGATAGCAAAGCAGTTTATTTGAAAATAAGTCACTATGAATAATAAAATAAAGGATAAAAAGTATAATGCTACTTCATTACTCCCTAGCACTTATTTCTATATAGTTATCATGTTTTAGTTACTGGAACCAATAAAATTAAGACTTTCACCACAAGCATTTTAGCATACTCTTTCAGGCAATGACGTGGGTAAAAAGGAAAATAGGCTGAATGTTCCCTGGGGATAGGGGGTGTAGAGATACACACACATTTGTTCTCTCTGTAGTGTCCATTGGTCAGATGTATACTGTATGCACCTCATTACAAAAACAATGAATGATTAAAATTTTTGGATAAGTTTGAGATTTTTCTGAAGCATATTTGATTTAAGGACAGGAAAGGGAAAAAAGCATTGTCAACAAATGTTATAGTTGCACAACAAACAGAAATAAGGAAGTCTGAATGTTTTGAATTTTTGCTGATGTATCTTACTGTTTCTGTTTTTTATGTAGTAATTACAATTAAAATTCTCTTTGTGTTAAGCATCCTTCCTACAATTCTGCCAGTCCTTAGAAATAAAGAAGCACAGAAGCTTATTGTGTTATTGTGTCTCAATAAGGTTAGAAATTCATGTGCTTCCCAGGGTTAATGTGGACCTTTTGAGCTTTACAGTATCACTGCATAACTTGTGATGAAAGTACAGTAGTAGCATTTTGAACATATATATTTCTGCTTTTATTAATCTTATCCAGAATTCCAGAGGAGGAATACTTAACAGAATTAACTTAATCTAGTATTGTCCCCCAAATCTAATTAAAAAATTAGAAATGTTTAGAACATATAAAGTTAGTTTTCATACTTTATGCATCTACAGATGCAGCCATTCAAAATGCATGGTACAAACCCGTACCGCACGCAACTACCCACAAGCCACCGCAGTCTACCGCGGTAAGTGATTGGCTGGCCAAAATGACCGACAGGGGCACTCATGGTGCATTGGTCGGTAGCGAAATAATTAAATCATTTAATCTCTTTACTGTGCACATTTTAATCCACTTAGTATTAAATATTTTTATGGATTTTACCACTAAAGGGAAATTTTAGTAGCTGAGCATAAAAAGAAGAGGAGCATAACGCATCTGAAGGTCATAAACGATATTAATTTCGGAACATAAACATATTACTGTATGTAAACTGTACTGTGTATGGCTGGTCTTGGTAGTTTAAAGAAAAAATACACACCAGACTTCCATTTCTCCCTAAACATTTAAAGCATGAAAGTTTTATGAAACGGTACCCAAATATGCGATTGCTGTATAGAATGAATTTTAATAAAAAAAATTATTTAACATGAAAATTAAGCTGTTTACATCTTCCACCTGAGAATATATTCACCCGTTGCTTCCCAACGCAAAAACACAGCCACTAACTAGCAAACAGAGGACATTAGCTAGCCAATATGATAAAGAAATAAATGTTTATTTCTTTTGCACATTTATTTGATTGTACAAGCACTTGAAAACTGTCCAATCCCTAGTTCATCAGGCATTTTCTTTTACGCTGCGGGCATTCTCCCGGTCTGGCGCCAGTCTGTGTCTTCTAGGATATAATGCCAGCGATTTTTTGTTAAATTTGGGTTTCCAATAACGACGCAGCAAACTCTTGTTTTTATGTCCACTATAACAGATAATCTCCCTTGCTTTTAACCGAGCCTTTCATAATTTCCTAAAATGAAAATGATTTACTTTTTTTCCCTCACGGGATCAATAAACTATCTATCATCTATCTATCAAAACTATGGGACAGAATTCTGGTGTCTCCCTATACCAGAGATTACGGTAGGGCTTCAGAATGGTGATTGGCTGACACCATCTGACACCCCTCTGACTGGGGAAAAAAGAGGTGCTGATCTGCTCTACACACCAGGAAGTCAACAACATATGTTGTTTCTATTCCAAATGCGTATTTTAAAAGTGTAATTAAGTAAAAACCTTACAGCGTACACAGATTTCTAAGCTGAATAGGAGGAAGAAAAATCACCCGTGTTTCGTGCATAAAAAGTGGTTATTAACTATCGAAACCTGTTTTATTTTTATTTTTTAATTTAGATTAAGAGTTCCCGTCACCCCCATTTCCATTTAAATCGCAAACCCGTGTTTAATTAAATTTCTTTTAGCGTAAATCGTTATCTTTGCCTTCTGCATAATAATGTTCACCACTCTGTCCAGCAAATTAATAATAAACTTTATTTTATATAGCGTTTTAAACGAATAAGTAATTAGGTTGCTCATAAACCTAATCACTTATTCTACATAAACACAGTGTAATTGCTCCCTGAAAATGCTCTTTTTCTTTTTATTTAGGCTCAGATTTCAACTATAGATCGTGCACTAATTACTAGCAGTAAATACTGATGTTATGCTCCCTCTTACCACAAAAATATTAAAAATAATGTATTGTAGCTGGGATGAACTTTTTTTCAAACGTGTCTCTACCTACTGCGACTCGGACACAGAATGGTTAAAGATGGCAACAACTCAGGCACAAATGGGCGATCTCCCCAGACTGTACACCCATTTCACTGTTACCTGGATACTTCTTTTGGGATATCCTCTAAATCCTCTTGGGCGGAATATCCTCTTGGGGGATATTCTAACAACAACTGATTATAAGACGATCTGTCAAAGTGCAATGAAATACAATATGCTGGACAGTATGCTTCTCAAAGCGCTTTACAGGATAACAATAACAACAACAATTTTACAAGTCCTGGGAGGAAGAATATCATCAATATTAATAATAATAACAAACTTTATTTTATATACTGCCTTTAAAGGTGGCTTTTTTTAAAATCTTTTTTTAAATGCATTTGCATTTGCACACAGAGCAGTTTACTTGAACATGGAGATGCCATACTGAATAATTCCTGCACACAACCATTGCAGCGGAATTTGCATCGTTTGGCAAGGCTATGATTCATACAAGTGGTGGTGGATTTGGAGACAAAATGTTTTTACATTGGGTTGCTGTAAGTGGAGCAGTAATAAGCCCAAAGCTCTACTTACTATTTTACAAGAGAATTCACCTGACAAGCTGGACAGTATGCTTCTCAAAGCACTTTACAGGATAACAACAACAATAACAACAACAATTTACAAGTTCTGGGAGGAAAATATGATCAATATTAATAATAATAATAAACTTTATTTTATATAGCACCTTTAAAGGTGGCTCCTCAAAGCGCTTTACAGGATAACAACCGATGAAACAACAGTGGTTGGGGGTTGAAAATACAGTACCTGTGAAACTGGTTTGTTCACAATGTACTGTAGACACAGAGTGTTACACCCACGCATTAGCATGTTAGCGTGTTCAGTACATTGTGGATCACAAACAATGTACTGAACACACAGAGACTCAGTACCAATAGCAATTAGCAATATAAAAATAGCAATATTATGGACACACAATTGACTTTAAAAAAAGAAAACGTTTTTTTGACAGCTGGTTTGTGTTGACAGCTTGACACAAGTTTATCAGTGAAAAGACCACAGGCATTCATCCTCCCCCCTACATTCTCAGAGTAGGATAGAATTTATTATCAGCACAATTTATTACGGCGCTAAATTTAATATGATTGATTACCAATAGTTTAAGCTAACACCTAGCTTTTTTAACCCGAGAAGTACTACTCCTGTAACCAAAAAAGGGGGTTTTGGAGGGGGGGAGGTGTTTTTCACTAGAAGACTTCTACTTTGAAAATACCTGAAACCGGTTTAATTCGTCACAGCCAGCACTCCCACAGAGAGTGATGAAAACCGCGCTGCACCAGGCGAATGCACATAATGTTGGGCTTTTGGGCTCAGGTGGATTTGCGCCCTACAGTTCAACCTGCGGTACCGCTGTGTAATGTACATACAGTATAAACGTGTTATTTTGAATTATAAAAAATGTCAATATACTGTAGTGTCCATAATATTTGCTATTTTAGTTTTTTTTAAGTGTTTCTGTTAAAAGAAAATTCATAACATTCGCTGAATTTGAACACCCAACCTCACGTTTATACAGTACTGTAAATCAGTCGCTTAAGCCATGACACCACCGAGGCAAGACATGACACACACTGAAACAGCAATACAGATATTACAGTAATATGGTCGGAAGGTCAACCACGTACTGTAAGACTTTGGCAAAAGCACCTTTTGGTGCTTAAAATGTTTAGGGAGAAATTGAGTATTGGTGTGTATTTTTTCTTTAAAATACCAATAACAGCAACATACAGTTTTACATAATATGTTTATGTTCCTAAATTAATATTGTTTATGACCTTCGTTATGCTCCTCTGCATTTTATGCTTAGCTACTAAAATTTCCCTTTAGTGGTAAAATTCCATGATTAAATGATTAAATCTTTTCACTAACGACCAATAAACCACATTATCTTCCGTATCGCATTAACATTGGAATGTTTTTTTTACAAGTGTCAAAAGAAACAATACACAACCAGTCTCCTCTATAGCTCTTCAGTTTACAGAGAAATTCTGCCAGAGCCTCACAACATTGTCCAATAATACTCTTCTCGTGTCTAATTTTTAGTTAAGCAGGATTTGAGCTACAGACCGTAACAGACCAAAAAACAGAATCCACCTGCGGTTCGGGTGTT